AGAGAGAGAGAGAGAGAGAGAGAGAGAGAGAGAGAGAGAGAGAGAGAGAGAGAAAGAGAGAGAGAGAAAAAAAAAAGAAGGCAGAAGAGAGTGAGAAGAGAAAAAATGGACACCAAAAGTTATCCCGAACGCGACAGTTCCAAAAATAATAATGAGTGAAGTACATCGGAACCGGAAACGGCGAGTGACCCGACCGGTTTCGGCTGGCCGCCGTACGCCARCACTCATCAGGGGTCTTTGAATTCTTASGAKAACTAGCCGAYTATTTATGGGGTTGAAATGGAAACTCTACGAGGGAGTCGTAGTTCCCAAGAGACTAAAAAAAGAACMTGTTCAAAGTACCTTCACTTTGAAAAACCTATTCTAGATAGTCAACCAAGTTCATGCACAGTATACCAAGAAGCAGCAATACTGGACCTATTCGTACGATTAGTAGGCCTTTTTCAGATATCGCAGATTCGGAACCGGATACTGCATCACTTCGCCAAGTACAGGMAATACTCGTCTCACGCCCGAGATCAGTGGCACAAAAGGACAAAATTCATCGCCTTCTAGAGAAAACATACCAAAGCTTGCCACTGCTAAAAAACAAAAGGTCCTAATTTCGAACCGTCGTCGTCTTCTGAACAGAAACCCCCCAGTCTCCAAGGGACCGAGTTCGAAAACACGTCACCTTACAGCAATTAAAAAATCCTGACGGTCTTGGACGAAACTGGCCCCCCTGAACTTATCTTACGGACAGCCAGCCTGTTAACACCGGTAGCCAGTCACTCCATAACCCTCGAAACTTGTTCCAAAAACTAAACAAAGCATTATCGGAATAAGCATCGGGATATCCCTTCTTCCAAAGTTCAATTTTCAAAGCAAACAAAAAAGGTAGTTCCATACCCCTAATAGTAGTAAAGGTTCGTGCGTGATGGAGGAATGATCCAATCACTGCCATCTTCTAGAGTTTGTCAGAGAAGGAAGAAAAATGCTGAATGGACTGGAAAACCACACGCGTCTCCATCCAAGTGGATTGGTTTTTGTGAGTAGCCGCACAACCCAATTCTGATCCTTCGGCCAGGATTTTCAATAGACATCCCAAGAATTCCCAGCTGCTGCCTTCACTTGTTTTTTCCAATGATAGGTTAGAATCATAACAGCCTTGAAAGATACTAATCAAATTCTCGGCCATCGCTTCAGACAGCCCACAACCTCTTTTACAAACCACAAAAGCAGAGACGTCATCTACCAAACGAAAACCTTGGAAAAGTTTCCTCTGAGTCCCCAGAGAGGAGAGAAACGTGAACTCATTGAAGGCACATAGTAAACATGCCAAGGCGGGGCTGGAAGACTTTCCCATGGGAATGCCCACCATCTGCTGCAGCACACACCCTCCTGCCATCACGTACGTATGGTCCAACTCAAATTTAACAAAGTTACGAATGTGTGAAAATTTTAACAATCCCCATCCCTCCTCCGCAGCACCTTTGACCAATTTGGAGTCCTTACCTCGTAGTCTGACTGAAACAGCATGGTAACCCTCGTGAGTCCAGTAATCAATTACCCAGTCGAGAGCTCGAAGAATAGATGAATGAAGAAGATTAGAGAACATTTTTTTTACGTCAAAGGAAGCCCCGACCAGAAACTCATCCTTCTTCAATCGTTTGTTAATGGAACCAACACGTTGTATGAGGTCTGTAGTCTTCTTGAGGTTAAAATGACAATCCTCCGGCAGCTGCCACAGAAGTCGATTAACAGCCTTCGAAATCTTCCTTCCACCTGCAACCGCATTATCAGAGAAGGATGGACAAATAGGACGCCATCGGGTAATGTCTTTATGTTTTGGAATGCAGTAGGCCCGCCCCAGGGATCCACGCGGGTTCCATTTCGCTACTCGTTCTAACTGCTTATGACGATAAACAGCCTTACATTCATCAACGATTTCTGCCTCACTTCTAATCATTTTGGAGAAGGAAGGATTATCTAAGAACAACTTACTCATGCCACCATAGTAGATGGTCGGACAACATATGAGTGTATCACCAACATTATGATCGATGGGAGCACAAACCAGGCCCTTAAAGACAGTTTTTAGGGCATCCAAGCAGTCAACAGAACATTCAAGGAAATCTCGAGGAGATCTAGCGATACGTGAAAGAAGAGAAGACGAGGAAGAGTTAGGGGAAGGGAAAGAAGAAGACACGAACAAAGTAGCAACGGAGTTAGAGGAATCAAAAGACACAGAGGGGGAGGAGGTCCTGTCGACAGAATTGAAGCAAGAAAGAAGATCATCCTTCGTCAAAGCATCAAGAGATAGTGGTGGGAGAGATTTCACAGAATGGAAAGAAGCGAAGATCTGCTTACGTAAGTTACGCAAACTATTTACCGAGGAGGGTCGAAGAATATTTTTTGAATTTTTCAACCACAGTGGAAAGAAATTACAGTCGTTAATCCTGCACGACACGTGCCCATTGACTCGCGGTAGGCAAGAATCAGCATCTTCATAACCACAAAGTACCTCAAAAATTCTAGAATAGGTCCTGAAGTTATGAATTAAATCCCCAACCATTCTATTGCGGCACCAAACAATCCGAAGTCGTCGAACAAACAAGTCTTTCCACACACCTGGTACGCTCAGACTCCCTATAATTCGAATAACCAACCGACGTACTAGTGACTTATTGTAGACTGGATCATATACCAATCGGATTACCAAGCGCTGCCTCACTTGCACATCGTAACAGGTAATGATAACTCGAGAAAGAATACATCTGAGACGACAACATGTCCGCTTTTCGTGAAAAATCCGAATTGCGGAGAAAGCAAACACAAGCTTCTAAAAACCCCAAGAACAAAGTTCCTTACAAGAAGAGGGTTCACTCAACAACTTGACCAACGAATCCTTATATACTAAAGATCGCCGCAGAAAGGGAACAATATGTTCGAAAATGATAATAGTACCGTTATTAATCCAATCACGATTCCTTCTGAGTTGCCCCTTACCAAAAATGCAGGAAATAGTAGATGCCCCGTACAACCTTTTGAAAACATCCCACTTATCAGCAAGAACTCTACCTCCTTTGCATGCAACGACACAGGTAGTAATACCATGGTTTTTACAATGATCTAATATACGAAGCAAACTGACAGATACTATTCCGACAGTCGAGTGAAATTCGATAAAGGGATTAAAAGTCCTGTTCACACAAACCAGAGACTTCTTCTTCTTCAGTCAGAGTCGTTCTCTAAGACCCTTCCTATGCCTTTTGGATTTGCACTTTTTGTCCCGAACATTCAAAGATGAGCCAGTAGATCGAATAAAAAACTTTTCGAGTTCCGAGACATCGTACGTAGAACCAACATAAATAGGGACAGCCACATACCTGTTGACACCGCATCGCCTAAGCCAACGGTACAGTCGTTCATTACGATCACCTTTACTAACCAAAGATGGATTACATACTCTATAGACATGCTCGCTCCATCTGGTATGTAGATCCCTAGAAGTACTACCAATACATGTATGTCGGCACCAAGGAGAGATCAACGCGTATACTAAGGGCCCATCACAGCGATCGAAATCAAAATCACGAGACAAAAAAGTAGAAAAACACGTAGCGAATTTGTTAGCCCATGGTATCTGACCATCCAAAGTCAACGCAATAACGGACAAGCAGAGAAGGGTATTAATAAACCGACATCGCAATCGTTCAATAGATAAGTCACGAATATTGAAGCAATATCTTACTGTTTTCCATAGGCGCGCCGCGTTCGGGACAGACCCTAAGAAGTAGCGTCATCTGCCCCGTCCGCTTTGCCAAGGTATTCGCTGTGACTGTCAAAGGTTTCGGTCAATTCTTCGATCACTACCTCCTTCTGCTTGCCAGGTGGAGGTTCATCACAGGCCAGCCCCATGCGTAGCTGCGCAATTGCTTCCTTCGTCTCATCCAGAACAGTGTAAGTAACCCCTTCTTTCTCACAGATATTCTGGATAGCGTCTTTCTTTAGATTCTTCAAATCCTTCCTAACCTCCTTCCGGAACTTCTCCCGTTCATTGGCAACCCCAACCCCAATAGCAGCTGGGGTACTGCCCTTCCCTTTGCCAGAACATCCAGCACCATCGCCAACAGCTGCATCAAGTCGCAGTCTCAAATCTGTCCCACCTGTTCTAACTTCCTTCTCCTTCATTCTCGAGTTTCGTTGTTTCTCCATTGAGGCGACTTGCACTCTGCTGAGTGCAACCTTCAAATTCTTAATTTCTCTGTCTTTCTCCTCCTTGATTCTCTCGGCCTCTTGTTCGGCTTCTCTTCTTCTGTTGAACTCCTTAATCCGCATCTCCTTCAGAATCTCAACCTCCTCGATATGTCGAGCAACAAGATCATTGTAATCATCCGCGTTCCTTCTTCGTGCAGTCGCAGGCGTAGCCGCAGGTACACATCTAGGTCTGGTTCGCACTTGAGGGCTAGGAGTAGCACCAATCGTAATGCTCCCTCGTTTGGTGCCCGGGCGCTGAGCCTCCATCGTCCACCCTTCAGCTTCGCTGACCACCTCTTCCGTAATCCGTTTCAACGTGCGAACTTGTTCCTCCAGGGAAGAAATCCGTCTTTCACTGGCATCCTGTGCCTATCGCTTAGCTTCATCGTACTCACGCTGGAGCCTGACAGCCTCATCTTGAGCATTGACCGTAGTCAAAGATGATCGGGTGGCCGTAGCATGCGATTTCTTCAAATTCTCCACTTCGCCCCTCAGCTTCTCAACCTCACAGGACTCATTATTTTTCAAGGTCTTCGCTTCGTCAGCAGCACCTAGTCTGAAATTAATTAGTTCCCCGATCTGTTTATAGTGATCTTTTCTGTCCTTCTTCTCATGTTGCCGTCTATCCTCCTCTAACATAGGATTCGTGAAAACCTAACAAAACAAATTATTAGGTTTGCACGAAATATATTCAAGCCTCCAGCAACAAAAATTCTACGTGAAGTGAAACATCCGTAAAAAAAAAAGCAGAAAATTAATTTTTAAGAACTACTGGAGGGGGCGAGGAAAAAAACGGGTTTTTTCAAAGTAAATCACGACCTGGTGAAGCACCGTAGGTTTAAGAACTGAAATAGCCTGATTTTTTGTTATCCAAAAAAAAATTGTTTATAGTCCTATAAGATGTGTAACACGATGAATTTATTTGGGGGGTTTTCGAATGCGCAAACATATTCTCCTGTTCGTGAATACGTTCGCTTGAACATGGTTTCCCATACATGGGCGAATATATTATTTTTTATTGTTTTTTTTTATTTTTTTCCCTATATTTTTATTTAAAACTCGTGTTTGGCTAAGAATTTCAAGGTGTCTCCGAGGCAAAAATTGTTTGTATTCTTATTTTAAATGGCATATAATTTTTGATAACGGTTTTATTGTTAAGTTCAAAAGTGATTTATAGTCCTGTAAATTATTTTGTGCAGAGTTTGGTTTTTACCTAACTGCGGAAACTGACTTATAGTCCTATAAATGAGTATTCACGAAAACACGTTTTTTTTTACATCTTTCAAGGAAGGGTTTTCTTACACATTTTAAGGAACGCTAAACTTTTCACCTGATTTTTTGCCTCTTTTATCGCAAAATGATTAAAAACACTCTCTTTTTGTATAAAAAATAACAGCTTGACTTTTACTTTTCATTCTATAAGAAATGTTAGATTTTCTCCGATTGTGAGGTTTTCACGAATCCCCTGTTCTCTGCCTTTTCTCGTTGCTTCTTCTCTTCTTCCTCCGTCTTCTTTCTCTCTCGTTCTTCTTCGGCATCGTGAGGCACCTTCGATTTGACTACAGTCTCCTCCAAAGTCTCAATCCTACGTGTATTACTTGGACCAGCCCACCCACCGTGATTGTAGCGAGCATTAGAAAAATAGTTGGTAGGCAGGGTAAGAAGCGGTTGGTTAACAGGAACGATAGCAGAGTTAGGATTAGCAACAGGTGGTTGTCGAGGAGGATGGGGACAGAAGCGTTGAATATGACCCGCGTGACCACAGTTGTAGCAACTCCTAACAAAGTTATTGTTGGTAGCCATAGTAGCACTCGAAGCCACACAGTAGTAGTATAACCCCTACTCCGGTTACTTCGCGTATAAAGGTTGTCAGATGACAAACACTTAAATTGACAGACACCAACCAGTAACGAGGAAGGAACTTGCAACATCATAATCATGACAGGGAAGAATGAGAGAAAGAGGGAGAGAGAGAGAGGGAGAGGGAGAGAGAGAAAGAGAGAGAGAAAGAGAGAGAGAGAGAGAGAGAGAAAGAGAGAGAGAGAGAGAGAGAGAGAGAGAGAGAGAAAGAGAGAGAGAAAGAGAGAGAGAAAAAAAAAAAAAAAGACCAAAGAGAGTGAGAAGAGAAAAAATGGACACCAAAAGTTATCCCGAATGCGACAGTTCCGAAAATAATAATGAGTGAAGTACATCGGAACCGGAAACGGCGAGTGACCCGACCGGTTTCGGCTGGCCGCATTCGCCAACACTTATCAGGGGTCTTTGAATTCTTACGATAACTAGCCGACTATTTATGGGGTTGAAATGGAAACTCTACGAGGGAGTCGTAGTTCCCAAGACACTAAAATAGAACATGTTCAAAGTACCTTCACTTTGAAAAACCCTATTCTAGATAGTCAACCAAGTTCATGCACAGTATACCAAGAAGCAACAATACTGGACCTATTTGTACGATTCGTAGGCCTTTTTCAGATATCGCAGATTCGGAACCGGATACTGCATCACTTCGCCAAGTACAGGAAATACTCGTCTCACGCCCGAGATCGGTGGCACAAAAGGACAAAATTCATCGCCTTCTAGAGAAAACATACCAAAGCTTGCCACTGTTAAAAAACAAAAGGTCCTAATTTCGAACCGTCGTAGTCTTCTGAACAGAAAACCCCCAGTCTCCAAGGGACCGAGTTCGAAAACACGTCACCTTACAGCAATTAAAAAATCCTCACGGTCTTGGACGAAACCGGTCCCCCTGAACTTATCTTACGAACGGTCAGCCTGTTAACACCGGTAGCCAGTCACTCCATAACCCTCGAAACTTGTTCGAAAAACTAAACAAAGCATTATCGAGGATGCATGGGATGTGGTCGCCGTAAAAAAAACGAGGGCGTGGTCCTTTTTTCTTTCTTTCCAATGCCCCGACCAGTCTATCGAGTCATAGGGTTCTAGGGGGGCCATGTTAAAATGGTGTGTGTTTTCAGTGCATGTGGTTGGCCATTTTTTTTTCTTTTGGGTAACTGTAACGTAACTGTGTATATATGTGTATATATGTGCATTTAATATATATATATATATATATATATATATGCATGGGCGGATTCTGCACGATTCAGCACAGATTGTGTAAGAACGTCGGCCCAGTTTTCATGCCCGAAGAGGAATTGGGTTGATAGCCTGAATCTGCCTGATTATGGATTTATCTATGAGCAGATGTCATCTACGTTCATGCGCATTGGGAAAAAAAAAAAAAAAAAAAAAAACGGTCCCCCCCCACTTTGTTTTGGCATTTTTTTTTTTCACTTTACTTTACAAAACGATCAGTAAGAACCGAGGTGTAGCGAGTGGCCGGGTGACCGTGAAAAGGTAAGCGGAAGGATGACCTGAAAGGGTAAGCGGGAGGAAAAAGGTTTTTTTCCACGTTCAAATAGGGTCTCCCTGCACTGCTCTCGAAATGTGTAAAACGAGAGTGAAACTTCCGCTAGAAAATATGGAAAAATACACCGCCATAATTTTTGTCTGTTGTGCATCATGCCGAGAGTAGTGCAGCGAGTCCCATAGTCATTCAGTGTGCAGACGTTGGGATGGGACACGGCTACCATCTAAGGAGATGGGTGGAGGGAGGCATTGAGCGGGGTGGGAGGTTCTGCTCTCACCCCTACTCACTGCGTGTTGCATACTGTAAAGGTGCAGACCAGAACAAGAACCGACCTCTGAATACAAAGTACAAGATAGCGCAGCGGAAGACTTAGATACCAATGATCCGAACAATCAATATTGCAATGCAGCCCCGAACATACATCATCATCATCACTCCATGGTGTGAAGGGGTCTCGCACTCACACAGGAAAAATGCGTCAGCCCCAATCATACACAGACGAAGAAGAGGGAGGTTGGATGAAGAAGAGGGGGGTTGGACGAAGAAGAGGGAAAGATGGGAATGTCGTCAACACCAAGTCCAAGGCACAGGCCCAAATAGTCCCTCGTCAAAATGCCTGAATCCGAATGTCGAGTCTGGATCCAATGTCGTCAAGTCCCAAGTCACAACTCTCTCTCTCTCTCTCTGTCGTAGTCTGATGATACTGAGAAGTCAGGTGGTGAGAGGGTGAAAAAGAGATGGTGGACTTAGAAGAGGAAGAAGAAGAACTCTCTCTCTCTCTCTCTCTCTGTCCGGTACTAACCTGTGGAGTTGGCGCCTTGATGTAGGTACCTCGAAGATGGAGCTGGACTCGGAGCTATGGCGCCACAGGTAAGTCTCGCTGGCCTCCGCCAGCCATCTCTCTCCAACACTACTACCACTACCACTACTTTCGCCCTGCGCTGAAGACTACTCCTGCACCTACTAGCGCCCAGCGCTGAAGACTACTGCTAGCGCTAAGCTGCTCCTGCAGCGCTCCTCCAGAGTGCTGCGGCCGAATCCTGAAGACTGCCTCCTGCCTTCTGTCCAACTACCTCCCCGTGAAGTGCATGGGAACTCCCTATGTACTACTCGGCCTACCTCCTGACTGCCTGCAGCTGCAGGGCGAGGCAGTCCAGGAGGCTGCTCTTGCCAATGCCAGGGCGAACCAAGGGCTGGCGCTGCAGCTCCTCCTGAGGCTGTCGTGGGGAACAGGCCAGAAATAGCCTGTTCCCACAACCCTGGTTTTGTGCCTGAGTGTTAGGGCAGGTCGATCTTATGAGGGCCCGAAAGTGGCCCTCCGTTTCAGGCTGAAAAACCCTGTTTTAGGCTGAAAACGAAATAGAGCCTGCAGGCCCTCGTTCTCAGTTTTCAGGCTGAAACGACATGGGGCCTGTAAGCCCTTATTTCTAGGCTTTTAGGCTGGGAATGCGGGACGGGCCACGAAGGCCCGTGTGGCTACGCAGTATGCCACCCCCCCCCCCCTCCCTTGAAAGACCGAGCTTACCTGCGAGGGCGAAGCAGTCTGTCTGAGGGAGGGACCACAGTCCGGGTGGGAGGGGCAGGTCGTGAAGTTCCCTGATCTTACCTTTGTCGCTCGTGGTGAGTGTAGATCAGCGGTGCGGATGCTTTCAAATCTATTCCTGAAATCCACCGAGTGTCATCAGGATCGCATGTTTTGAATGTAACTTTTAACTGTCAAGGCTTGCAGCCGTACTTGCGATCCGTGATGACGCAGTCAACTTCCTGATGACCATCCATAGAAGGAGGGTCCTGTGATCATCGGCCCCGGAAGTCGTCGCTCTTAGATGGTGTGTATGTTGCCAGCTTCGAGGCGTGAAAGACTAGATGGACCGTCAGATGCGGGGGGATGTTGATCACAAATAAAGGGCCATCAGGCTCATCGCCCGCGGCTGATGTTACGGGCCATGTTCCAAACCACTTGGGAAGCAGTTTGCGTGAAACATCCTGTTCCAGTGCAAACTCTTCCGCGGAGACCCAAACCAGATCACCGGCGCGGATGGGACATGGCACACGATGCCTGTTGGCTTGCTGTTGCATGCGGACTTGAGCCTTTTGCATGTTCGCGCCGGCTTGAGCCAGCAATTCCCTGTACTTCCGGACGGAAGAGGGAGAGTAAGCGGTGTCGATGTCGGCTGGTCGTGGGAGGAGCAGATCGACGAAGATATGACCTTTCCGTCCACCATGGTGCAACTCGAATGGAGTCACGCCGATCGCCGGGTACACCGAAGTGTTGTAGGCGAACTCGATGTCGGGGAGGCGGTTAACCCAATCTTTCTAATCTGGACGGATGAGCGTACGAAGCATCATTTGAGTGGTTTGATGTGCCCGCTCCGTTTGCCCGTCCGTCTGTGGATGCCGAACCGAACTTGGTTTCATCTTCGTGTCAGACTCCTGCATGAGAGCAGTCCAAAATGTCGACATGAAGCAAGTGTCGCGGTCGCTGACTATGTCTTCCGGTACACCGTGGCCGCAAATCCAGCCGGTGTGCAAGAGGCGTGCCAGCTCGGGAGCCGTGGAGTAGTACTTGCAAGGGAGAAAATGTGCGTACTTACTCAAACGATCCACAACCGTGAGGATGTCGTGGTGCCCGAGGCGCTTGCGGGGAAATGGTCCAGTGACATCCATGGCAATGGAGAGGCCGAGTTCCCGTGGGATAGGCATAGGGCGCAGCTCGCCGTAGGGGTTGCGATTGCGGGGCTTGCTTCGTCGGCAAACTTCGCAAGAGTCGCAATACCGAGTGACATCGGTTAGAAGGTCGGGCCATCGGAATCGTTGTCGAAGCCGTGCAATAGTGCGGTTGACTCCACAATGGCCGGCGAGTCGCGAGTCATGGTACTCACCGAGAAGGCGAGTCCGAAGACGACGGTCGCGTGGGACACATAATAAGTCATTGCCTCTCGAGTGGAGAAGCAAGTAGCCCTCGGCAATGCGATAGTGGCTGACCGGCGGGTGATCCGAAGATAGTTGCGCATACAACGTGGCGAAGTCCGGATCAGACTCGTAGCTCCGGATGAAGTGTCGCTAGAGTTCCTTATTGAATGCGAAGGCATGATGTGTCGTAGCGCAAATATCGGGTCTTCGCGAGAGTGCATCTGCTGGGCGATTGAAGAGGTCGGGGAGGTGTTTCGGTGTGAAGTCAAATTGGTCGATGAAGTAAATCCATCATCCGATCGTGCTGCTCACTGTATCCTGCGTCTTGTAGTAAGTCAATGGGTTATTGTCCGTGACCCATGTGAACCTACGACGCCCAAGGAGGAAGAGTCGGCATCGCTTGAGAGCCCTCACGAACGCGAGTAGCTCCTTCATCCTTGCATCATCAATCAAATTGATGAGAGACACTTTGTGGCTGAAATACTCCACAGGGTGCCAGTCATCGTCGTCGTGTTGTTCCAAGACTGCCCCAATGCCATAGCCGGAAGTGTCGGTTGTCACTCTCGTTGGCAGGGTGGGGTCGTAGATGCTAAGGACGGGTGCCATGAGCATGGTCGTCTTTAGTGCTTGGAATGACCGGCGTGCGTCGTCATCGACTACGAATGGCACCTTTGGTAGTTGGAATCTCGTCATAGGTGCAGCAATCCTTGGGTACCCGGTGATGAATCGCTGATAGTAGTCCGCCAGCCCCATGAATGAACGCACGTCCGTGGTGTTGGTGGGCTCGGGCCATACGTGAATCGCCTTGATCTTGTCCGCAAGCGGACGGATGCCTTGCGGCGTCACATAATGTCCCAAGTACTCCAGATCCTGCCGCACGAATTTGCATTTGTCGCGGCTGACTTTGTACTTGGCTTGTCGTAGCCGCTCCAAAACGGTGCGCAGGTGGTCCACATGCTCGTCCAAACTCCGACTGTACACCAAAATGTCGTCGAGGTAGATAAGTACGAATCGATCCAGCATGTGTCGGAACTCCGTTGTCATAGCCGCTTGGAAAGTGGCTGGGGCATTCATAAGGCCAAACGACATAACCAACCATTCGAAATGCCCATATCGCGTCTTAAACGCGGTCTTGTAGCGGTCCTCCTGCCGGATTTCGAGTTCGTGATATCCTGATTTGAGGTCTAGCTTGGAGAAGAACTTGGCGCCGCCCAGCCGTTCGAGGAGGTCGTCGATGCGCGGAAGAGGGTCGGCGTTCTTGACCGTTTGCGCGTTGAGCTTGCGATAATCGATACACAACCGCAAATCCTTCTTCTTCTTCCGGACGAAGAGAATGGGAGCACCGTACGGCGAGGAGCTAGGCCGAATCCAGCCTTTCTCAAGAAGGTCGTCGAGTTGTGCCCATAGCACACTTAACTCTTCCTCGCTCATTCGGTAGATGCAACCACGCGGAGGTACAGCCCCGTCCTCGAGGATGATCTCGTGGCGGATGGGCCGATCCGGTACTACTCCGTACGGGCCTTCGAACACAACGCCGTAGGCGTCGAGAAGCTCGGTGATGTGTGGGTCCGAAGATGAGTCCGTCGATGAAGCGTCATGGGGCGGGAGGGCGTGGAGAAAACACCCCCCCATTTCCTCGATGTCGTCTTTGATGACAGAAGCTCGTATGCTTGCGGCGGACACCACGCGGCAGCTGATTGAAGGGTGAGGAAGAGGCACCGTGCATGGGACTAGTACTCCTTTCCGATCACGAACGTGAACGGTATGGCGGTAGAAGTTCACCGGGTAATCCTCGCTTCGCAGCCATGACATGCCCAAGATCATGTCGAATTTGGTGTCCAAAATATCGAAGGACACCGCCTCGCTTGCATGCAGGGCAAAGTACATGGGGAACTCATCAATGCACCGGTGGATTGACTTGTGCGTGTGACCGTCTGCCAACGTGACTGGCGTAGGCTGGGACTTCCTTCGGACGCGTGGGCCAAGGCCGGCTCGTACCATAAAGTCCTGGCTCATGTAGTTGCGAGATGATCCGCAATCGATCAAAGCATTGCAGGTCGCCTCTCCGATTTGAATGCGTTCATATAACAATGGTGCGGCGATGTCGTCGTACCGTTGTGTCTTGAACTCACGGTCGATCTTCGCAATGCAGTCGTGAAGGTCGACAACCTCTACTCCGACGTCCATCAACGGAGTTGGTACTGCAGTGTGCAAGTAATCCAGCAATTGTGCCATGAGCACGTTGCAATGCGGTTTCGGCAATCGATCGGACCGGGGAAGGGGCATCCATTGGAAGTCCGCAAACGTCAACGGGTCGAGCTCTTCAAGTCTTGACCATGACGTTGAATCCCGGACGATAGATGGCGGCAAAGCTGCCGAATCGGTTGCCAATGGTGATTGAAACCGTGCATGTGGTAGATTGTTGCACGTGGAGCGGTTGGTCCAACGGTGGGACCAAGTGGACAGCATTGTCCTCGTAAGCATATCGAGAACTTACGACATTCGCATCTTCCCCAGATGTGTAGGAGGCCGCTAGCAAGGCGGCCGAATCTGGCGGAGTGAGAGGTGGAGTCGCCTCACCTCCCGCACAACTAAGTTTCCCGAGTTGATGCGAGGTCGAACATCCTCCTTGCCTTAATCCGGGCATTGGGAGGTCTTGTGCTTGGTGTTGTTGCACCAATAGCAGCAGCCTTAGCGGCCACGCCACTTGTATTCCACCGAGGTCAAGTGAAACTTGACCTATGGTGCTGGCTGTTCGTTTCCAGCCGACGATGCGGTTTTCGCCTTCCCGTTTCCTCGGGACTTGTTGTTGCTTCGCGGCAAGACAGCGGCCACCTAGGTGGCTGCCGGGTCTTCCACAATGTTGTCCGATTGGACTGCGGCGACATGCTGCGGCCGCGGACCAGTTTTCACTTTCTTCACATTGGTTGGCTGCCATGCTGATTTTTTATGTGCAGCTACCCTATTGGTCTTGATGATCTCCCTTGCCTTGTCGATGATTTCAGCGAAGGTTGCGTACTGCTTGCGATCACCAAGTGCAAGGCTCAAGGCGCCACACGACCGGTTGTAGAACTCTCGGCGCAGATGCGAAAATGACAATTCTAGATCGGGCGTTGCCGCGATCTTTTGCCATTCCGTGAGCCAGTCACGTGTTGCTGTGTTGCCTTGCGCAATAGCGAAGAGGAGGTTGATGACGAGTGTTGGCGCGTCGTCCACGATGAACCACTTCTTCCATAGCCGTGTTAGCTCTTCCCAAGAGATCTTATCTTTCAGATTTGCGACGTCGACGCCGTGGACGGTTGCCAGGTGGCTCAACCGGATCTGGCATCCGCCCTTTGAGTTGAGGAACAGCGCGCCGATGTACGAGTGCTTGGCGATGAACAAAATCCGAAGTTGCGTCGTAAAGCCCTCCCACCAGAGGACCGGGTCTTGATGCGTATAATCATCGAACTTCTCGATATGGAATGTCGGCATCTTGTAATGTTGCGTGGTGTTGCCATCCTTGTTAGGCAGCTGCAGTTGCTGAGCCTCGGTCTTCAAGGTGTCCAGCTGGTTGCTGATGGTGGCTGGTGCAGCGAACGTACTGATGTCGACGAGCATTGCGACTACGTGGGCAACTCGTTCCTCCAACTGGTGGGTAGAGGGTGCACTGCTGGTCTCGCCAGCATTCGGTCTTGGTGCAACTTGCTCCAAGTCCTGTACACGGGAATGAAGTGCCCATGTAGCATCCTCATGCAGATCCTTGTGGCTCTGCATTGCCCGTCGGAGAATCGCCAGCTCGGACTGCAGGTGGTTACAAGTGTAGACCAACCGGGTCACGAGCTTGGCCAGAAATTCCTTATGGTGCTCCTTCGGTGTCGCGTCGCTGTGCCCCTCGGATGGTTCAAAGTGTCAGTACTTGAGCTTTTCGATGCTGGTGGTTTCATGTCGTTATAGCAGGTCCTGGGCTTCCTTGCGTCGTGCCTGGGTATCTGCGTCTGCTGCGGCCTGAAGCCGCTGCTTCTCAGCTGTTGCCGCTGCTTCAGCCTGTAGGTGGACAACCTCGGCTGCCAGCTGGTGCTGTTCCTCAGCCTCGATTAGTGCGAGCTGAGCTTCGAAATGCTGTCGGTACTCGGCAATGGACTCGTTGGCCAGTTGGCCTGGCATGCCTAGAGCTGAGCCCGTCATGGTGGCGGGGTACTGCTGATGTGGCACTGCTGACGTGGCACTGCTGACGTGGCACTCTTGCTGACATGACACTACTTACGTGGCACTGTTGCTGATGTGGTACTGCTGACGTGGCACTGTACCAAACCGGGAATGCAGGCAAAGGGGTGGGTGGGAGGGAAAAACCCAGGTAGGGAACCAACCCAACAATACTTTCCTCCCGGCCCTAATCAACAGATAAATAAATAAATAAATCAATCAAAAAAGAGGACTACGTCCTTTTTTTGTTTTTTTTTGTATATCTGTAGATCTGTTATGGTTGAGGCATGTCAGAAGAGTACTATGAGCAAGATCTAGGCCAGGTTCCACAAAGTTTCGGCTTTCACAACAATGCGATCTTGAAAAAAAAAAATTTGCGAAATAGARTAGAGATGCGATTTTCAGAAAAGAACTATATCTAATTTCTGAGAATATGACAACCTCTTAATATGCCTAAAACGAAATGCTGATAGGCTTCGCAAGATTTCGGTTTTCAAAAAACTTTTGCGAGATAGAATGGAGATTCGATTTTTAGAAGAGAATAAATCTGGTTTTCGATAATATGACCACCTCTATCGTTATCCTATTATGCATAGAAAACGAAATGTTAACATCAAAAATTTTCGGCTATGTATGCGAATATCAGAGAAACGAAATGCTTCTATCAGGAATTTTCAGATAAAAATGAAATACGATTATCAGAAATTTTCAGATATTTGTTGCGTGAAAACGAAATACCAATATCAGAAATTTTCAGGTAAAACGAAATGCAATTATCAGAAATTTCCAGATATTTGTTGCGAGAAAAACAAAATTCAGAGATTTGACGAAGTCCTACTTGATTTACTAATGAGTAATCAATAGATCAAGCAAGCTGGCTACTTGATTGAGCGGGTCCTCTGACTGAGAGCCCCGCTCCGATACCAAATTGTTGCATACAGTAAAGGTGTAGACCAGAACAAGAACCGACCTCTCAATACAAAGTACAAGATAGCGTAGCGGAAGACTTAAATACCAATGATCTGAACAATCAATATTGCAATGCAGCCCCGAACATACATCATCATCATCACTCCATGGTGTGAAGAGGTCTGGCGCTCACACAGGAAGAATGCGCCAGCCCCAATCATACACAGACGAAGAAGAGGGGGGTTGGACGAAGAAGAGGGGAAAATGGGAATGTCGTCAACACGAAGTCTTCGACACAGGCCCAAATAGTCCCTCGTCAAAATGTCTGAATCCCAATGTCGAGTCTGGATCCAATGTCGTCAAGTCCCAAGTCACAACTCTCTCTTTCTCTCTCTCTCGTAGTCTGCTGATATAGAGAAGTCAGGTGGTGAGAGGGTGAAGAAGAGATGGTGGACTTGGAAGAGGAAGAAGAAGAACTCTCTCTCTCTCTCTCTCTCTCTCTCTCTCTCTCTCTCTCTCTCTCTCT